GTGCGTACCAGGAGATCTCTCAACGCGTGATCAAAGCTAGACCAGCGTTTGCTAATGTGCGGCAGCTCTGTCCCCGGCGTGACATACCCTTTCTACTAAAAGAGCGAGTGTATTTCGCAACGATGCGCACCTTGTCGCCCTATGGCTGCAAAACCTGACCTGTCCGAGCAGATCATGTCCGGCGACTATCCGTATTCGACAACTGTTGTTTGCGCAACATCGCCCGCGTATGGTGGGAGCATCGCATGAATAACTATGATGTTAGCCGACGTGTGTTAGGATCAAATAGCCTTCCGTTGAGAAAAATAATTTCACTGTATTGTTTTAGGTGTTTGCAGCACGTCCTATGAATGCCTGAGCACCGTCCGGCGTACCGTGCAATTTTTTCAGACATCGGTCCGAGCTGACAGAAACAGTGAGTTGAGCAGGCTTTGACGGGTTAGCTTCCGTTGGGGCTTTCCGGCCGCCCCCTTCCCCCAGATTCAGGCTGTCTTTGGCCGGAGGCACTGCGGAATATGGCATCGAACCAAAATCAGTGGCGTGAATGCATCCTTTTCTGTGTACGCTTCTAAAATTATACAAAAAAACGAAAAAAGCCTAATATGGCGTGCAGCAAACAAACAAAATATTTGCTACCCCCTCAAGTTGACTGTTTTTTCTCCTTTCTGTTTCCATATTTTGCGGTAAACCCATGGTTATTTTGGCACCGTGTATATTTATATTCTGTCCCTTCGCACAGAACTTCTATCCCGCTTCCGATTGTGGACTGTGAGCGCACAAATTATCAAACAATGTGGCAGTTCCCGTGGTGGTGTGGATCACATGTGGCAGTCTAAAGAGCTACGTCGAACTATGACACTTCAGGGCCCTTCTCGTCCTCTTGTCGGTCGATCTATGGGTACGTACCATTTTGATGTTCTCTGTTTCTTTTTGACTGCAAATGTCTCATTGCAGACTTGCATGATCGAATCTGAGAAGCTTAATCACTTGGTTATGGTTTTTCGAGTTTGGAAATACCAATGCTCAGTTTCCTCCTCCCTCTGTGTGGCAAGATCGTCCGTGTCTTTCCCAGCATTGCTCCATTTCCTTTACCATCGAGTTCCTTCCCAAACTTGATGAGTCCACTCTCTTATTCAGTTTCATCTTAACTCACAGTCGCTGTTGAGTAATGGCATGAAATCGGTGCGATTGACGTGGACTGGTCATCCGTTAAGATTCGCCATCACGCACAATTTTTAGTTTGTCCAGACCATACTCTCGGGAAACACTACAGTCCAATCTCGTTCGCGCTCACGCGTAATACATATTCCGTGACTCGTCTTGAATTTCAACTGCCGACCCCTCACGGGTGTGTTAACCGGGCACATCCGGGTTGACTAGTTATCGATAATATATATATATTCGGTCACTTCAGTAATGAGTCAGACAGCAATGAAACAAGATATTCGCAAACCTCAACACCTGATCAACACTGATCTCCAGGTTCGGATAATATTGCTCAAATTGTACTTGCTAAACTATTTTTTTTTTGTAATTCGCAGGTATTTGGGATTGCTGAATGTGGGACAGGTGCCATATTATCCGTACATGGTGTATCCTCATTACTAACGCCTCCTCTGTTTTGTTTTTGGTCCAAACTTGCAGTAGTAGTAGTAGTGTTATACTTCCACAAAACGGTGCTCACTCGAGGATAGTTGTTTATTGAGGATTACAACTGGGACATCACTAATTTGGCCTACATAACACAGAAATCTCATCGAAAACATATCATCGCAGTTTCTGGCCGCACAACGGGTTGTGAATGTAGAAATCTATAGTTATTCTTTGACATTCAGCAATTTGCCCTGGTTGATCTTGTGAATCGAAATAAGTCACCAACTGTGTTACCCACTATTCACAAATGTGAGTTGTAACCCACAACAGTAGTAGTGTTTCTGTCCCGAAAGTGCGCTTCTTATGTCCCCAGTCATGATTTTCGTTCCAGAATGTCCTATTGCTTTTCATTCTCCGTCCAGAATAACCGCGATTGAAAAGTGCGAACGGTTGTTCATATCTGCTGTCGTGTATCGTTTTGGAAGCGATAACAGTAGCACAGCAAAAGAAACAATCGCCCGCATTTCGAAGGCTCGAGCAGCATACGCAGGACTGAAACACCTTTGGCATAGACGCTACGTTTCACTGAAGTTGAAAGGTCGTGTACATTGTGCTAGCGTGCGTTCAGTCCTGCTTTATGGTTGTGAGACGCTCAATTTGCGAGTAGAAGATATCCGTCGACTAGAGGTTTTCGATTATCAGTGTTTACGCAGTTTAGCCCACGTGCGATGTAGCGACCAGACTTGTAATGTGGAGGTAAGCCGTCGTGTGTTTGGGAGTCTGTCAGGTATAAACCTGCTAGCACATCGAATTCAGATTAGTAGACTTCGCTGGATAGGGCACGTATTGCGTATGCCGCACCGCGCTCTATTGGCTGTGGTTAATCCGGGCTGGAGGAAACCACGTGGAGGTCAACAGATGACGTGGAGACGAGGCATGATGAAATGCACAGAGCCATTAGGTAGAGTAGGTGTCGCGCGCATTCTAGGTTGGGTTCAGAGAGACACCAAAGGATATGACAGCGAACCGGCAGCAGTGGCGTTTCTTATCGTTGTCATTTCTTATCAGATCAGAACGCTTAAAACGGTATGTATGCAGAATTCGATTGCGTACTTTGTGTTGACCACAGTGATTCACTTTCTTCTCCCTCCCTTAAAATAGGGCCAATCCCTGTCCACCTTAAATTTTACCACTAACCTTGTATACATTGCGAGTTTGGCAGCGGTCAGTGAAGTTCGGTTCACTGTTTTTCGCTGTACGGTGATGATGATGGTTGGAAGCGTTTTGTTTGGTTTTCCCGCTAGTGGATACTGCAACTCAGTCGCAGCCATGCCTCCCAAACGGAATGAGCCAGGATAATTTTTCTTGTTTTCTAATGATTTTTTCGCCTGTTTTTTCAGGTGATAATGATGCTCGTCGAATGTCCATATCAGGTGAAAACCGAATCGAGACGCCCGGTCGTATGCGCTGGAAAAGTGGCAGCGGTAGCGGCAGTGGAGTACCTGGCGCAGTTGTTAGTACAGGTAATCCTGTTGGCGGTGCCGGTCCGAATCTCGGACCGGGAAACAGTACGTTGGGCGCAGCAACTGTCCTTGCTCCAAATGTGGCCATACTGAATCAAGCTTCGACCACTTTGTCCGTCCGGTGTGGTCGATGCTCTAAACCTTTGCACGCGAACGAATCCACCCAGCGCATGACCGGTCATGCTGGGTGGGCGTGTTCCCGTCACACGACTACTGCTGACCCGGCCAATGTCACGTGTGCATTGTGCCATCTGACTGTTCGTGGTTTGTTCGTCTGGTGTCGCGGATGCAGTCATGGCGGTCATTTGGAACATATGCAAGTATGTGGACGATTTCGAGTGTGCGATTCTTTTTTTGTTTGACCGGTATCACTGGCACTGTTCGGTGTTCGCCACTGACGATACAATCGTTCTCCAAAAACCGATCCTCCTCGGTGCCCAGTACTGTATGGAGTGATTTCTAGGTTCAAATTGTAGGTTTCATTTGATCAAGTTCTCGGCGGTCGTTTTATTTGTTTTCACACACGTCTGAATTCAGACTGTGTGCCAAACATATCATGGTACAATAATCTCTATAAAAAACAAAGACATTTCATGGTTTGCATGCGGACGGAATACTGCCAGGTTACCCAGACCAAGGCATGTGACTTTTCTTGGGGAATCCACAAACGGAGCCTTCGGTTAGCCAAAGCCTGACTCGCAAGGCAGCGGGGCAGTGTGCGAAAACCGCAATCCATTGGGAGCCGGTGTCCAGTTCATCGGATGATACTCCCTTCGGACGGTGTCTAACGTTCAAGGTGCACAATACACCTCGATGTCCATCCGAGCCATTGACCACTGCCCCAACCGGGAGGGTGTGTGGTTCGTACACTTCTTGGTTAGTTTGGAATCAAGGTTTTTGGCCAACTCCTCTAGGTGGATTACTAGTGGTCCACCAACCCGGTTACAGCCCCGGATATCGGCTTTTCGTCATCTTACTTGGGTGGGGAAACACCCGCCACGAGAAGGCTAGGAGTAGGGCTTCCTTATCAGAGGCTATTCGAGACACTGGGTCGTATGGGAGAGTTTCGCGAAGTACAAGGGAAGGGTGACCAGCCACAACCCAGGACACTGCCGACCATGCTGAGGCTTCTGGAGACCTCAGCGAATGTCGGTTCGTGACTTTCATTCAACGTGCCTCCGAATGCCAAGTAAATCTGAATCACATATCGAGTGTTCGACGCTGCGTGAGAAGCTTATTCGCCAGTTACTGATCACATAGACCTCGATATGGCATTACAAACGGTGATAACTTCATCTACTGGATCAGGGTGAATAGATCGCGTGTGGTTTCAATACGACAGAGGTTGAAGCATCTGTATGGGACAAGGTAGCTCTTCCTCTCTGTTTCACTGTTTATCAATTGTTGCTAACGCGGCTATTTTTTTGTCGGCTTATCAAATTCAAATCTTTATTATGGGTAACTTACAAGGCTGATGCTCACTGAATTCCATAGGATGTATACACACTGGGTTCGGTTGGCAGTACAAATAAACAGCAAATTATAATGTTCATTCACGTGTGCTGGAAAATTAAGTGTTTCAATGCTTCATCGAGCCGTGACTTGAACGAATCGATGGTTGGTGCGCAAACAACTTGAGTTGGAAGAGAGTTCCATATAGTAGGTAGCTTTGCTGTCATCCGGTTCAATACCACGCCTAACCTAGCGGGGCCTTATGCGGCTCACCACTTCAAGTCCCGTGGCTCGGTCTGCATCGCTGAACAGCCCCGCCTGTTGTTCGTCACACGAAAGTGTGTAATAAAGAAAGCAGCATCTCCGGTCTAGCAGACTCTTTTGGAGCAAACGTTTACACGGATGTCCTCTGAGGTGACCACTCTTGGATAGTGGTAGTAGAGTACTACACCTGTGGTTAAGTTGATGTAGTATTTGATAAACGAGGATCGTCGCCCCGTATTTGACGTTCAAGTGCCTTTTGGTCGCGAATCAGCCATGGATTCCAAGCTTGTGTGTGGTCTAATGTATGCCGATAGTAAACGGGATAATCGGTCTGCTTCGAATGGCCCAAAAGCACGTTTTAGCAATCCAATAGGCTTTATGGCCTTTGATAACGCTCTCGCGCAATGTGCGGAAAATCCTAAATCCTCACAAACAATAACTATCAGATCCTTTTCGTTGGAGGAACGCGGTAATGGCTGAGTTCCAAGTAAGTATAAAAAGCGACACCTCTAACGCAGCGGTACAACCTTGCATTTCTCAACGTTGAATTCGATGTCATTAGTGATAGACTATCGGTAAGCTGCGTCGAGAGTGTCGTGTGGGGTTTCATAATCTTCAGAATATTGTACCGTCCTGAATGTTTTGGCGTCATCAGCGAATAATAATGTCTTTTCTCCAAAGGCAGCTGGTAGGTCGTTTGTGAATGCCGGGAAAAGGTACCAGCCAAATAGAAATCCTTGTGGAACCCCATACCCAGCCTCAATCGGTCCCGATGAAGAATCATTAACTCGAACCGATACGGTACGTTGTCGGAGAAACTCTTCAATCCAATCAAGGAGCAGTCCTCGAACACCGTAGATATGGAGCTTACGCATACGTCGTACGGTGGTTAACCCTGTCAAAAACTTCGAAGAAGTCTAGGTAGACTACGTCTACTGCCTTCTTCCTCATCAACTGATGTTTTCTACTCATCTCATGCAAGTAGCAGGTTCGTGGTGCACGAAACCCTCGTTGGGGCGGCGAGAGAACATTATACTCAAAATCAGAGAATCAGTAACAGTTAATTCCATTACTTTCGACGGAACAGGCGTATACCAATGTACATGATAAATGTAAAAACGAAACTCTGATTTCAATATCAGAATTCTTGATGAAGAAGAGACCCAACTGGGACCAAAACAGTGGTAGTAGTCGCATATGCGCCTCACCTCATCACAGTCCTCAAGAATAATCGAGGAGACTGGTAGGTTGATATAGCTAATGGAATAGTGTTAGTCGTCCTATGTTCGTAGTCCAAGGGTTTCCCCCGAACTATTTAACGGATCTCATTCACAACAGGAGACAACACTTAGATTGATAGGCTGAGTATTTTAGCGACAAATTGTGCAGGGCCACCGTAAACCAGGATTATCCATGGCGGCTGAAATCAAAGCTCTATGGGCAGCGTTACATAAATCGATAACACAACCAGAAGTACTCGACCGCGGGAATCAATCGCACTAACCTGTCTTCCATGCCATCCTTTTTCAATGTGTGCGGGGACTCCCTTTTAGATGCCATTCTGGCGTCGCATCTAGTCAACCAAGTGCCTTTATTGTATTCTGGACCGAATTGCTGATTCGAGAAGAAACCCCACAATGGATGTGTTGACCACCATGCGACAAGTTTCATTCCGATGTCCATCAATTTATTTTGTCCAGTAATCATTCGCTGCCAGACCCCTTTTAGAGAAACAGATATCCGCGAACAACAGCCAGATCGAAGTTGTCCGCTCTGAAATGTTGATAAATTTCAACAAACTGGCTATTCGCCACGAATTTTTTCGCGTGCAGGGAAGGAACTGTTTTGATTATCATTAAAAAAACTGCATCAGATTCATATTTTCTGCACAGATTAGCTTTGTTCGTTGGCTTTTACTATACCGCTAATCGCTTTATAGTGCCATGTGTTTTTGCTGTCTTGGACCTGTACCGGTAATCTCACACCGTTTTCTTCCCCTCCCCCTGCTCTTATGACATGTTCTGTTTGGCACAGATCTGGCTTAGTCAACGCTCAGAATGTCCTGCCGGATGCGGTCATCGATGCCAATATGGCTAGTCTCGAGATGGACGTCTCCTCGCAGCCTGTGATTTTTTCCACTACTACCACATCGCTTTCAATCAGATTGACGCCCAGTGATGCCCACTGTAAATATCCCCCCAGAATGATCTGAGTCCTTGTCTGATTCTTTCTACACACCCCACCCCCGTTTCCTTGTGATTTGATCAGCAAGCACGGTTATTGTGCGTAAAGGCGATACCGTTCATCCGCTGCCCAGCAAATATACTGTTTTCTTATTTTATTTGTGGTGGAGGGTAGAAAATCTCGTCGATAATCGGATGACAGGTATAAGAAATATCTGATAGAATAAGCACTTTTGTGTTGGCCAACTGTCGTGCTCTTAGCTTATCTTTCACTGGTTTAGTCTCCACCGCTCATTAGTGGCTTTGCTAAGCGGCGGCACGCATCGGCTATCACACTCCGCTTGACATCATGATCATCGTACAGCGAAATCTATACAGTGAAGCGAACCACACCGACCGCTGCCAAGCTCACAGTGTACAAAAATCAAGTGAAAAACCATAAGATGCAGAGGAATGGAGGCCTAATTGGAGGGAGACAAAGATGGTGAACATCTATGGTCAATAAACAGAATACATAATCTAAGTGTGCATACATACCTTTTCAAGCACTCTGACTTGATAAGAAATGACAACAAGAACGCCACTGCTGTCGGTTAGTCACCATATCCTTCGGTGTTTCCAACCAGCCAGTTGCACAGTCTTTTGGACCCCAATCTGGAAGACGAGAGACACCGATTCTATCTGATCGCTCCATGTATTGCTTCATGCCTCATTTCCACATCATTTGTTGATCTCCACACGGTTTCTTCCAGCCTGGAGCCGCAACTACGAATAAGGCGCGATGCGGCTGACGATGACTTAGCATGCGTAATACGTGTCCTAACCAGCGAAGCCGACTAATTTGGATTCGATGGGACAACGAATTCTTCATCGAATCATTACCAGATACGCGACACCTCACCTCAGAGTTGCTTACAGGCTCGTTCCATCCAAACGGTACCAACCTACGTAATGGGCAGTCGAAGACTTCTAAACGACGAATATCTTCCACGTGCAAATTTAGGGTCTCGCAATCATAGAGCAGAATTGACCGCACACTGGCGCAATATACACGACCTTTCAGTCTCAACAAAACAGCGCGTCTGCACCAAAGGTCTCTCAGTCCTTCGTAAGTTGCTCGAGCC